ACGCGTCAACCTGCAAGACCTTGGAACATCATTCTTGAGGTAATTTTAATTCAATCCATTCATTGAAACCATAGAGGTTTAGGTATGATGTGTTTTTGCTTCCTATTCTGCAGCTTAGTTTTCAGATGTTTATTATGTGTTGTTTCTGAAGTCTTTGCACTCCATTTCTGTGTTAAATCATTGCCTCATAATAAGGGCGTCTTTGATAGTGCTTGAAATCCATTATGCAAATGGTTGAAATCCTGGTGTTGTTTGAAAGTGTTTGAAATCCATTTATGTGTTAGATAATCTGGAAGTGCTTTTTATTTATGTGCTCTTTTTAAAGTGCTTGAAATTCAATAATTTCATAAAAATCTAAAACAAACCCCGAAGTATGTGTGGTGAATTTTGTTATTCGTCTATGAATTAAATTAAAATGTATTTAAGCTTAGGACAGTATGAAAATAACCGACACTTCCAAATGTATGAAACTAAATAGTTACCATTCAAAGGTACCACATCTCAAAGAAAAAACTGGCATAATTTAATGGCTACTGTTCCGACCCATGAGTTTCATTATCTATCAATATCCTCTCAGCCAATATGTGTCTCCCTTCAACAATCTTTTATTAATTTCACTGACCCATCAACCCAGATATTAATTTAGGTGTAATAGCAGGTATCCTCCCAGGTAGAATGATATTAGTTATTTGGTTTGTTTATAGGTGTGTTGTTTGCCACAATTAGTAGAAGTAAAGAAAAAACATTTTTTAATTACAGATACGCCTAAATCCGCAAGAACTTGGAACATCATTCTTCCAAAAACCAGCCCAAAGCACCAGACCCAAAACCCGGATAGTAAACCCAAAGTCCCAGACTCAAAAACAATCCCATACTCTATAACCCAACCTAGAGTCTACCCAAAACCCAGGCCCAAAAACCAGTCCCAAACACAAACGCCAAAACCTAACCCAGATTCTACATAAGGGTATGAACACACAGTCTTTGAACTCCATTTATGGGTTAAAAATCTAAAATCATAAATCATTTTTTGTTCTGAACTATGTTTAACTTTCTCAATTTCCAATTTATTTTATCATATTAGGTTGTGGTGTAATACCTAGGTTTACAATATGTGTCTTCCTTCAACGATCTTTTAGTTTTAATTTTTGTGACCCGACACGAAAACAAACCCAAAGTCTAAACCCAAAACTCAAAACCCAACCAACGAGCCCCAAAAACCAGCACCAAAACCCAGCCCTAAATTATTAATTTTAGTGACCCGACAACCCAGATACAAAACCCCATCGCAAAGATAGACCCAAACTCTTAATCCTAAAGTCAAATGACAACAAAAAGGAATGGACATGTAAGGT